TCCTCCTCCTCCTCCTCCCGGGTTCAAGGCCCATAACAAGCCAAACTCTCCACGGCAGCCTCACCGCGGACGCTCCAACATCCTGCTCCACATTCGCAGCGACAGCCTCCGACCGCCAGCAACAGCTCCGCCCCCCTCCCCTCCCTCTACTTCAGGCACCGAGTCTACCGACCCGCTGCGCCTGCCCAGTCGAGTGCATGACGTCAGGACGCGACATTAACGGGGCCAGGGTGGGTCCCGTCGCGCTCAGCTTACGTCTTGAAGCTTCGCTTCCCGCTTTTGCTTGCCAGGACGTCGAAAATAGCCGAACGGGCGCGAGGTTTTCGAGCGTAACTTAACCGAGAATGGTTCGTCACCGTCTGCTGTTTGTGTTTGTTTGTTTTTTTAACAAGCCTACAAAACGTTTTAAAAATGTAAGAGGGGACAAAAAGGTTAAGAGTCGGACTACAGATCGTTCGTGATCTTCCGGGAGGGTTCCTTGAAAAGATTGTCATTGCCTTAGATGTCTATGGAAATCTTCAGTCATTTCAGATCATGGTTGTCCCAAAGGCACTGTTTGAAGAGGATCAGAGAGGTTTTTTGGCATATTGTTAAAAAAAGTGGATTCAAGATATAGATCATTGACAGAACTGAAACAGCATGGAAGAATAACAAAAATTATTTTCTTGCCTTTTCTCATAGAAAGCTTTTAATTCATTTCCACTTGGCCCACAAATGTGTGGAACTTGTTCCTTTCCTGGCATGAAAAGTTTGAATCTTACCATTGATTATTGAAGCTAATTATTTTAACATGGCACGAAGAATTATTTACCTGAACCAATACAGGTAGTCCTCAGCTTAAGACCATAATTGAGCCCAAATTTTCTGTTGTTAAGCGAGACATTTGTTAGTTTTGCCCTATTGTATGATCTTTCTTGCGATAGTTAAGTGACTCACATCAGTTGTTAAATTAGTAACAAAGTTGTTAAGTGAATCTGGCTTCTCCATTGACTTTGCTTGTCTGAAGGTCAAAAATGGTGTTCGCATGACCACAGGATATTGCAACCGTCATAAATACGAACCAGTTGCCAGGGATATGAATTTTGATCATGTGACCAAGAGGATGCTGTAAAGGTCATAAGTATCAAAAGTGGTTATAAGTTACTTTTTTCACTGCCGTTGTAACTTTGAATGGTCACTACATGAACAATTGTAAGTCGAGGAGTACTTGTAATATTTCTTTAATTGCTCCAGATATTTTCAGCCTATGATTATTTCTGAGCAAATATATTAAAGCAGATTGATTTCAACAAGCATTTTTTCCTTCAGACAAATTCTGACTACTAGCATTGGCTACTCATTTAGGTTTACATTATTAATAAATAATGTAAAAGAAATAAACAACTTTTTGGTAGGGCTACATAAAAAGGAATGTTAGTAGCAGAGTCCCTGTAAAATATCCCTTATACGCCATATACCAATGAATTTCTTGGGTAAGCATAGCCAAGAAATTCATGTTTTTTACTAATATCCAAATCCAATTCAATTAGTATGGTGCATCTAAAGCAGTAACATTTATGGTTTTTAAACCTAAAATCTTAAAACACTAATTTAGATAATAAGTCCTATTGACCTTTACTGTACTTACAGTATTTGAAATAAATATACTTGTAATATAAGTAGATCATTATCTACTTACTGATTTGTCAGGGTACATAGTTAAAAGCATGAATGTGGTGTTTTGTGTATTTCTAGAGGTTCTCCATATAATATCAAATTTATTTCTATAGTTTTTCAAATGAATTTTTCATTGGAAAGTAATTGTGAACAAATTCAGCTGTTGAAAAAGATGAGTGTGTATATATGTGTGTGTGTGTGTGTGTGTGTGTCTGAGAGAGAGAGAGAGAGAGAGAGAGAGAGAGATTTTGGTATCAATTTACAGTATTAAATAATTATGCAGTTTTTGTTTATTTCAGTGAAATCCTGATAAATGTATTTGCATGTATATGCCACAACAATCAATTTACAGGAATATTATATATAGCAGTTTTGAACATACTAGAACTAGATGGTAAGTTCAGGAAATAGAATGGAACATATTTCTAAGTAAACATGCATATGATTGGGCTGTTAAATATTTTTGAAATGAGCATGACTATGGTATGCATGGAAAAATATTATTAATAGATTGTGTTACTATCATTTATCTTTTCCCCATATTTAAAATTGATAGTTTGTGATTTGTTAGATTTTTGGAAAGAAGCTAGGAAGAAACACAGAGGCTACAATCATAAGAAACATAAAATTTTTATGGTTATGTAACAATTTGTGCTGGATTCATCTGCATGTGAACCAGACCTTTCCCTCTGTTCTTTTCCATCACTCTATGTTTTTGAACTTCTGTGACAATCTCTCAGGAAAGACATATTTTAAAGTTACCATGATTTGAAAAATACAGTAACTATTTCTCTGTTAAATGTAGTTCACATATTCAAGTTTCTCCATTAAATCTTTTGTATAACAATATGTGTGTGTGTGTGTGTGTGTGTGGTATTCAGCTTTGTTCGGGTATTTTCCCACGTCGTTATAGTTGTGCTTTTAAAGTTGTAGCAACGTTTCGACAGAATCTCATCTGCCATCATCAGGCTTCTGTATTGTGTATTTTGAATTTTATGTTTGTTTGAGTTGCATGTCTGAATTCATGTTTTGGGAAAATATCACTTCCTCCCTAAAAAGGCTTGTAACAAAATTGAAAATATGAGCTGTATAGATATTACTGTAAGGACAATCATTCCTATATTGACAATGTATAAGCTAACATATATGAGGTATGAAATTTTTGTATGACATTCTGATACTGACTTTGGCAATATATACAATTATCAATGTATACACTGTTGGTTCCAGCCATTTGTTCATGTGGCATCTGTTCATTGAGATGCTCTGCCTTAAACTTCTGCTTCCAAACATTTTACTGATGGTTCAGACTTGACTTCCACTTCTTCCTTTTTTCCATTCTTTAGGCCCAGCTCTGGAGGTTGGTTTTTTGCATTTAGTTCTTTAATGTTCTTGGTTTCTATTTCATCTTTCTTCTCTTTGCTTGAAAATAGAGATGTTTTCTTGTATCTTTCATCAAATTGAAAAACAAAGTGGATTAACAATTAAACAGATATTATAGAAATGAAAGCCATTATTGTATTTTTGACCTTCACTTACTTGAAATGCTGTGTCAGTAATTTATTTATATATTTAGCATATGGCATTTACAAAGTACGCATGCACACACACACACACACACACACACATATTGTACAATACAGTATAGGAGATATTGTAATATATTAAATTAAGATAAAACTATAATGTATCAGTAATTGATGTTTCAGAAACATTTTTCTGAAAGTCTTTTCATCTGCTACGACAGAAACAAGGTTTTACCATAAACCACTTTGATTTTTTTTCTATTAAGAGATGGTACAAAAAATATTTACTCACTGCCACTGCATTGTTGCCATTTGCAGATTTTTCTATCTGAACAAACGTAATACATTCATATATGGGTATGCCTTACTTATACACTGCTCAAAAAAATAAAGGGAACACAAAAATAAGACATCCTACATCTGAATGAATGAAATATTCTCATTAAATACTTTGTTCATTACATAGTTGAATGTGCTGACAACAAAATCACACAAAAATTATCAATGGAAATCAAATTTAGCAACCCATGGAAGTCTGGATTTGGAGTTACACTCAAAATTAAAGTGGAAAAAAAACACTACAGGCTGATCCAACTTTGATGTAATGTCCTTAAAACAAGTCAAAATGAGGCTCAGTAGTGTGTGTGGCCTCCACGTGCCTGTATGACCTCCCTACAATGCCTGGGCATGCTCCTGATGAGGTGGCGGATGGTCTCCTGAGGGATCTCCTCCCACACCTGCACTAAAGCATCCCCCAACTCCTGGACAGTCTGTGGTGCAATGAGGCGTTGGTGGATGGAGAGAGACATGATGTCCCAGATATGCTCAATTGGATTCAGGTCTGGGGAACAGGCGGGCCACTCCATAGCATCAATGCCTTCATCTTGCAGGAACTGCTGACACACTCCAGCCACATGAGGTCTAGCATTGTCTTGCATTAGGAGGAACCCAGGGCCAACTGCACCAGCATATGGTCTCACAAGGGGTCTGAGGATCTCATCTAGGTACCTAATGGCAGTCAGGCTACCTCTGGGGAGCACATGGAGGGCTGTGCGGCCCCCTAAAGAAATGCCACCCCACACCATTACTGACCCACTGCCAAACCAGTCATGCTGGAGGATGTTGCAGGCAGCAGAACGTTCTCCATGGCGTCTCCAGACCCTGTCACATCTGTCACGTGCTCAGTGTGAACCTGCTTTCATCTGTGAAGAGCACAGGGTGCCGGTGGCAAATTTGCCAATCTTGGTGTTCTCTGGCAAATGCCAAACATGCTGCACGGTGTTGGACTGCAAGCACAACCCCCACCTGTGGACGTCGGGCCGTCATACCACCCTCATGGAGTCTGTTTCTGACAGTTTGAGCAGCCATATGCACATTTGTGGCCCACTGGAGGTCATTTTGCAGGGCTCTGGCAGTGCTCCTCCTGTCCCTCCTTGCACAAAGGCGGAGGTAGCGGTCCTGACTGGCCTGTCTCCTGGTAGCGCCTCCATGCTCTGGACACTACGCTGACAGACACAGCAAACCACCTTGCCACAGCTCGCATTGATGTGCCATCCTGGATGAGCTGCACTACCTGAGCCACTTGTGTGGGTTGTAGACTTCGTCTCATGCTACCACTAGAGTGAAAGCACTGCCAGCATTCAAAAGTGACCAAACTATCAGCCAGAAAGCATAGGAACTGAGAAGTGGTCTGTGGTCACTACCTGCAGAACCACTCCTTTATTGGGGATGTCTTGCTAACTGCCTATGCTTTCCACCTGTTGTCTATTCCATTTGCACAACAGCATGTGAAATTGATTGTCAATCAGTGTTGCTACCTAAGTGGACAGTTTGATTTCACAGAGGTGTGATTGACTTGGAGTTACATTGTGTTGTTTAAGTGTTCCCTTTATTTTTTTTGAGTAGTGTATTTATTTTGCAGCAAGAAGGCATAAATAAATATATTTAATGATTAAAACTATCAGTCTAATTCTCTATACAGTGAGAAGAATGCCCAAGTCCCATTGCATGTGAAAAGATAGCATTAGCATCTCCATGTATCTTGCTGATAGAAATGCATGTACGCGTAAAGCCACAAGTTTTACTTACTTTTTGATATAGCAGACAGCTAAAACCATAGCAGTGGTACAGAAGAAGAGGGCAAGCACCAGAAGCACGATAGGTACAGCTGGAAAGAAGAAAGAGGTAACTGTGAAATCTTGGAGACTAAACAATCTTTTTTTAAATTTCTAGTGGCAGTACTGTTTTCTGAAAGAAAAAAAAATATCAAAGTGGCTTTTCTCTCTCTGCAGTGTTCACAGAGGAGACTCCAATGGCAGAAGAATTCACACCATTCTCCATAATTTGTTGGATGCTGCAGTGGGATTCCTTTGCAGAATTTTAAGCCTTGAGCAGCTGGGTTTTTCCCCCAATATATTTCTGTTTCACTCTATGCACAAGCCCCAAAACAAGAAGAAACTAGCAAGTAAACATGGAGGGAAGTATGTAGTGGGGTACCCCAAGGTTCTGTTTTAGGCCCAGTATTCTTCAATATCTTCATGAATGATTTAGATGACGGGATAGATGGGGAAACTCATCAAATTTGCAGATGACATCATGCTGACAGGAATAGCAAACACTCCAGAAGATAGGCTTAAGATCTTGACAGACTTGAATATTGGGCCCTATCTAACAAAATGAAATTCAGTGGTGAAAAAGGTAAGGTTCTACATTTAGGCAAGAAAAACCAAATGGCACAGGTATAGAATAGGTGGTACTTGGCTCAATAGTAGTACTTGTAAGAGGTATCTTGGAGTCCTAGTGGATAATCATGTGCACTGTGAAGCTGCTCTTCCGGTTCTGGCGCTCCCACATGCACGAAGACCAGCTGGCTGGCGCGCACATGCACACCGTGGAGCTGCTCTTTTGATTTCTGGCACTCCCCCGCACGCAAATACTAGCTGGCCAGTGTGCATGCACGTGCCAGAACCGGGAAGAGCAACGGGTGATGGCTGGAGTGCCCAGAGAGATGTCGCTGCGTGCCACTTCCAGCAAGTGTGGCATAGGTTCGCCATCATGGGTGTAGGGTTTCCTGCCTGAGCAGAAGGTTGGAATAGAAGACCTCCAAGGTCCTTCCAATCTGTTACTTTGTTAAGTATAATTTCGGATCTGAACTGAGATTAAATCGTTCTGATTTCAAGATTAGCTTTGTATCCTTGCTTATTTATCAACAATTAAACACAGACCAAATGTGGTTTTAATGTTGCATGGGGCAACATTGCCACAATTTAGTTGTGAATGTGCTTGCCAACTCCTCCACCGTCGTGGCATGGATGCACATCTCCAGTCGATCATTTGTTCTTAGCTAACTGTATTGTCTGACTGCAGTTACTAGTTGGAACATTCCTGACAGTTTTAAGCTTTCCTTTAGCTTGTTTCAACTGGAAAAAAGTACCGCTTTCTTGTCATATATACCAGGGGTCCCCAACCGCCGGTCCGCGGACCGGTACCGGGCCGCGGAACAAGCCTTACCGGGCCGCTGGTTGCTGGGCGCCGCCATCTTTTTTTGGTAAAAAAAAGCAATTTTTCGTCAAAAAAGATGGCGGCGCCCAGCTGACGCCGGAACCGGGCCGCGGCGCCCAGCTGACGCCGGAACCGGGCCGCGGCGTCGAAAAGGTTGGGGATCCCTGATGTATACCACTAAAAATAAACTAGCAGTAGGTGGTCAGCCATACTATTTGAGAAAAAAAGCCGCTTGGTACATTCATATCTAAGCAAAAGATGGCTACCCATCAGTAATACTTTTCAAAAGTACCTGTATATACTTGCAAATAAACCCATCTACAACTAAGCCAATCCTCAATGAGAAGTGTGCCACCCATGAATGATGAAATGATGAAAAATTAAGATGGAATCTGTTCTGAAAAACAGCACTTATTGATAGAATAGAAAAACAAATGAAGTCTTTCAGAATTTAAAAAGATACGAAAATATAAAAGAAAACTACAAAAATGTTGAGGGTTTGCCTATCCATGGATGGTGGATTTTTCATAGTATTTTGGTTAGAAATTGGAGGGTTGACTTATCTGCAGATGGAGTTATCCATGAGTAAATATGACTAGACAGTAGTTTTTTTTTGTGGCTTTCTAGTTGTTTTGTTTGGCTTTCTAATTGTGGCTTTCTAGTTGTTTTCCACTAAAGCAAAGAAAGAAGCAAAGTGAAAGTGTATGCATTTGGTTTTGCAAATCGTGGTTCAATAGGCCAGAATATAGCTTCCTGTGACATATGATCAAAAAGGTTGTTATTGCATTTGTTGCTGTTTGTGCTTATTTTCACCAAGTGAAATTGAAGAATTTTTAATTTTAGATTTTTTAATAGTAGAATTTAAAGAGGCAGCTACTAATATTACTATTACTTTGTAAAAAAAAAAAAAACACCTTTGAAACTGTTAATTTTTTTCCAGAGTCTTGGTTGAAAAAAAGACAAATATTTTTATGGCTTAGAAGATTCCCCCTGCTTTAGCCAGAGTTGCTTATTGTGAAAAAACTTATAACAAAACACCCCTTTCCTGAAGACAAATTGATGAGGCTAATATCAGTGTAACCTGCTGAAAAAACTAAGGTAATGGAATAGATTGTTTGAGTTTCAGTGTCCAACACGTGCAACACAAAAACCAACCTACAGCTAACAAATCCATACCTATATCTAAATAGGACAGGAGAACAATTGCTCTTCTTTTCAGTGATCAGTACTCTCTGTAAGAGAGCCAGTTTGGTGTCATGGTGCAGGCACCAGGCTAGAAGTCAGAGGGCTGTGAGTTCTAGTCCCACCGGCAGCTTGAAAACCAACTGGATAACCTTAGGTCAGTCACCCTCTCAGCCATAGAAAGCAGGCTATGGCAAACCGCCTCTGGCATCTTGCTAAGAAAACTGTAGGGATTTGTCCAGATAGTCGCCAGGAGTTAACATACTGATTGAAAGGCATCCTTCCTCCTCCCTATGCCCTTTATTACTTTCTTGCACTTTCCAAGATACTTTTGAGGTTTTTCAGATAGACAGACTCACTGTGTGTTAGTCACTCATTTCCATTTTCTGAATGGATTCAGAGCATTCTTGGAAATGAAACCAGTAGAGGAGGTTGACTAAGGAGTCACTTAACATACAACAGCTGCCAGTTTAGTATTAATAGTAAGTAGTAGGAGTGATAGAAGTGGCAATCATAACTTTGCCCAAATCTTGGAGAGCGCAAAAACTTTCTCTTTGATTTCAGACCTTTTTTTTAATGTAGACTCTAATTGAATTACAAAGAGTTTTCTAGTTGAGAGGATGAAAAAAGCCAACTAATAACGTTTTCTTGTACTGCTTTGGTACATTTAAATGTACATTGTCTACTTAAAATTCTTGCCAAATCTGTATCTTGTAAGTCAGGTAGCTGGAAGGTAGGGAAGAGATATGTTAATGCCTGAGGGAAAGCAGCAACCTAGTGCATCCAGATTTAAGATTTGGAGTAGCAATTCTCCAACCATTATGTTAAAATAGCTCTCAATTGCCTTATTTGGATTGTAGAATTGGTGGCTTGAAACACGTCAAAAGGAAAAGACTACAATTCTGGTTATAGTGGTTTGATTCATCTTACCACCTCAAGAGCACACCTTTTAAGTTCCCCTCTAAGCCAGCAATTTTTAAAAAAAACCTGAGGTGTTCCTTTTGTCCTCTCTCTAACGTAAAACCGTGAAACTCAAAGCAACGCGTATGGCTATTACCTCCAAATGGGACACCCTCATTTTTAAAGGCAGTTCGTTTATCAGTGAAAAGCAGATTTTCCTTCTCGGGAATCGGTTCGGGTGGTAAAGTTTCTGTTACACATATGATGCGATATTTTGAGGGCTTTTGGGTTTGTTGTAAGTGAGTTGTGTCAACCCCTGTGGAGGTATCCTGAAACGAGGCTGTTAAAGTGGGGTTCATCTCAGTGGAACTGTCTGTTAATGCAACTGTGCTTTCTTCCGGGATGCATGAATTAATCCACGTATCTGAAAAGAGGACAAGAAAACAGTGCAGTGAGATTTGCTGATGCTATTTGACACACATTTGTTAAAATAACCAAATGCAGGGGACATCTTACTAAGTGTTATTCTACATAGCTAAAAGGTACTACTATAGAGTAATAGAGCAGTCCTGTTAGATTGCTCAGAGAGATCTGATGTTGAAGGATCTATCAGACTTAACTCTTTGCTAGACTTATTCCAATAAGACTAAGTTCTGGAAGAAGCTGCTGCCCTAACTCTTCCTCTCTGTTCCACTGATTGTTTCTAAATGGGAGGGGATTCATTTAGATCAATATAAAGTAATTTCATTTAATTTCTGCATCTGGGTAGGGTAGATATCCAGATGTTGAATTCACTTGAGTGACATTTTCTAAACAAGCCTTATGATCAACCTTTCTCACACTTTGGCCCAATAGTCTTCCATTTCTTCTTTTCATGATTTAGATGAGGGGACAGAAAGGGAACTTACCAAATTGGCAGACAACACTAAACTGGCAGGAATAGCCAACACTCCAGAAGGTAGGCTCAAGCTACAGACGGATCTTGATAGACTTGAACATTAGGCCCTATCTAACAAAATGACATTCAGTAGTGAGAAGAGTAAGGTTCTACATTTAGGGGGGAAATGAAATAAATGCAAGGGTATAGAATAGGCTTAATAGTAGTAACTCCGAAAGTATTCTTGGAGTCCTAGTGGAATATGAGCCAGCACTGTGCTGCAGCTGCCAGAAAAGCCAGTGCAATCCTATTCTACATTAATAGAGGGATAGAATCAAGATCACGTGAAGTATTAATACCACTTTATGTAAAAATGCAAGTAGAAAAATAGGGACCACTTTGGTGGGAAGGTAACAGCGTTCCATGTGCCTTAGGCGTTTAGTCATGCTGGCCACATGACCACAGAGACGTCTTCAGACAGCGCTGGCTCTTCGGCTTTGTAACGAAGATGAGCGCTGCTCCCTAGAGCCAGAAACTACTAGCATGTATGTGCGAGGGGGAACTTTACCTTTACCTTAATGCCTTGGTAAGACCACACTTGGAATAGTGCATCTAGTTTTGGTTGCCACAATATTAAGAAAAATGAGCACAGAATGCAGAGAAGAGCAACAAAGATGATTAAGACAGTGATCCCCAACCTTTTTGACGCCGCGGCCCGGTACCGGCATCAGCTGGGCGCCGCGGCCCGGTACCGGCATCAACTGGGTGCCGCCATCTTTTTTTGACGAAAAAGTGGCGGCGCCAGCGCTTCCGGTGAGCTTTTTTGGGTAGAAATGGCTTTCTACCCGGAAAAGCTCACCGGAAGGCCTGGCGCCGCCATCTTTTTTTGATGAAAAAGTGCTTCCGGTGAGCTTTCTACCCGGAAAAGCTCACCGGAAGCACTTTTTTACCAAAAAAAGATGGCGGCGCCCAGCAACCAGCGGCCCGGTAAGACTTGTTCTGCGGACCAGCGGTTGGGGACCCCTGGATTATGGGACTGGAAGCTAAAACATTAAGAATAATTGCAGGAATTGGGTATGTCTAGTTTAATGAAAAGAAGGACTAGGGGTGACATAATAGCAGTGTTCCAATATTTAAGCAGTGTTCCAAAGAAGAGGGGGTCAAACTAGTCTCCAAAGCACCTGTGGGCAGGACAAGAAGCAATGGATGGAAACTAATCAAGGAGAGAACCAACCTAGAATTAAGGAGAAATTTCCCGACAGTTAGGACAATTAATCAGTGGAACAACTTGCCTCCAAAAATTGTGGATGCTCCAACAGTGGAGATTTTAAAGAACAGACTGGACAACCATTTGTCTGAAGTGATATAGGGTTTCCTGCTTGAGCAGGGGATTGAATTAGAAGCCCTTCCAACTATGTTATTCTATTCATTTAAATTTGCAATTTTTATTGTTGGGCATTTTCAATATTGGAAAAACAATTAAATGTCAGGCTGTAATTGAAAGGGAGGAATGCTATGCTGCCCCTGATGGCATCCCGGCCACCATACGATTGTGTTTTAAATCTATATCTATACATAAAATCTATCTCCCTCTCTCTCTCTTTCCCCTCCCCCCCCTCTCTCTCTCACACACACACACCAATGTTTCACTTTGTTGCTTTTCCAATACAAAATTCAGTAAGTAGGTGTTCACAAGATTAGAAAACTGACGGGGCTATCAGAAAAAGTAGAGGCACCAGCAGCAAGTCCAAAAAAATAAAGATGATGGCCACGATTATATGTTTGAAGTCCCCACCTCATCAGGGCACAGTAAAAGAAAGAGGATTTTGATCACATGGTGCAGCCACTATATTGATTGTTTTTTTATTCTCTCTGCAGTTGTCAAAACAACACAATAAACTAGTCCACTCTGCCTCCTTCCCCTAAAAGGTAAATAAAAACTAAGTATGCTTTCTCAAGACCATAGAAAGCTAAATGGCTTTGTCTGGCATGTTTGTCTTGGTACCTTGTTTCCTTTCTTAAAATATGCAATTAATCAGGCTAGTAGGAAAACCCAGCTGTGAGGCTGGAGACCAGAGTGATTTTCTATGGAAATAAGAGAAGATTTCTTCTAGATCCCAGGTTCTACCCTATGTTCTTGATGACAAATGTATGCACAGGGAAATAGAATCGTGCACATTAATTGCATCAGCACAATTAACAGTGCATTTCGTTTGATTCTCTGGCCAGGAAAAACAGTGATTCCAAAAGTCACCATTGGTAGAAAAATCTCGACTTAAATGATCTTGTGGTAAGGTGTATCCCAATAAGTTATGTATAAAAGACTACAGAGATTAAATAATTAAAGACTAGTGATTATTTGATTGACTAGTGAGACCCCCAACAAGAATTCAACAGATTAAACAATTCCTATTTTAAAGAACAAGCTTCAATCTTTTATATTGCTTGAAAACTATTATAATACCAGAATGACAATGCTATCTTAATATTTGGAGGGAAATGGCCCTTGCACTGTTCTTGATGTCGGTCCCTGACAGGAAATGTGATGACACATTTTAATGAACTGAATAGGACGTAAATGACAGCTGTATTGTGATATTATAAACATGCCTTTTACCATGAACAGCCATGACAAAAAACATAGCTGTTTGCTTGTTATTAAAGCAGGCTCCTTAAAATAGAATAGAATAGAATGGAATGGAATAGAGTAATAGAGTTGGAAGGAACCTTACAGGTCATCTAGTCCAACCCCCTGCTCAAGCAGGAGACCCTGTACCATTTCTGACAGATGGCTGTCCAGTCTCTTCTTGAAAGTTTTCAGTGATGAAGCACCCACAACTTCTGAAGGCAAGTTTGGTTGATTGTTCTCGCTGTCAGAAAAAAATCCCTTATTTCTAGGTTGAATCTCTCCATGATCAGTTTCTATCCATTATTCATTGTCTGGCCTTCAGGTGCTTGGGAAAATAGCTTGACATCCTCTTCTCTGTGGCAGCTCCTCAAATATTGGAACACTGCTAGCATGTCACCACTGGTCCTTCACTAGACTAGCAATGCCCAGTTCCTGCAACCATTCTTCATATGTTTTAGTCTCCAGTCCCCTAATCATCCTTGTTGCTCTTTGCACTGCTTCTGGAATCTCAAAATCTTTTTTATAGTATGGTGACCAAAACTGGATATCATGTCTCCTTAAAAGATGGCTTATAGCAGTGGCCCCCAACCTTTTTTGTGCCACGGCCCGGTACCAGCATCACAAAATGATCCACGGCCTGGTACCGGCATCAGCACGCATGACAAGGCAAGGCGAGCTGAGCGACCAGCCAGCCAGCCGTCCCCCGCTTCTCCCCGCCACCTTCAACTCCTCCTTTGTACCTTTGTTGATGGGCTTCGCTTCGGGATGGCTTTGGGACGGTCACTTGGCTCACCTTGCCTTGAGTGCTGAAAGAATCCTCGCGCCTTAGTTTCATTCGAAGCTCCCCCCCTTCGATGAAACTAAGGCGCGAGGATTCCTTCAGGACCCAAATGCCGCTTTCCAACCGGAAAAGCTCACCCGGAAGCACTTTCTCGTCAAACAAGATGACGGCGCCCAGCAAACCGGCGGCCCGGTAGGAAATGTTCCACGGACCGGTACCAGTCCGCGGCCCGGTGGTTGGGGAACCCTGGCTTATAGTTTAAAAATTAGTGTTAGGATCTTGTCCTTTTAAAATAGACAGACCAAAACATTCAGTAATCCAATATCTAATCATTTTCTACATGTCTTTTCCTATAAGAGTTCTTAGGAGAACTGTGTTCAGCGAGGCTAGGCATGTGTCCTATGAATGAAATTATAGCCTACCTTCCAATTTTCTAGTGGCATATCTTTCGCGTTTCAAGCAAGTGCCATCCAGTAAAACTTGGTTTTTCTCTTTATTTGGAGTCAAACAGAAACAGCTTTGAGGTTTTTTTAATGCTTCCTGAGATCTCAGAAAGTACATTACCACCCTAAATTGTCCAAGTGACCAAATTCTATCTCCAGGGTGATACTGAAGGCCTCATAATCATTTCTGATTAAAAGACGTACTTCTCCATCAAACAATGCCATTGAGATAAGTACGAGGAGGATTTCAGATGACAACATAGGAACTCCAGGTTCCTTGAAAATATAAATGAAATTATAGTATTCTTTATTCTGGTCCATTTTGATTATTTTAGAGGGCAAAATATTCTGCAGTTTTCTTCTTTTTTAATGCTCTTTCATGGGATTTCTTTATTTCTCTTATTTAAAAGCCACGCTTCTACTCAAAGCAACAAATATTTTAAAAAATATTAAAAACTTCTACTGTATTGAAATTAATGATTAGCAAGCCCTGTAATAGAGATGCTATGTGTCTTTACAGATTTTGTATCTCCAAGAGAGTGTGTCCAAGTGCAGATCCCCCAAAAGTGCATCCTGTAAGTTGGGACAAAGCAGGTAAAGGAACACTCCCACAAACAGGTCATCTTCCCTAGGAGAAGTCAACTTCAGAAGAATTTCTTGCAAATATTATTGGCGACCCATCCTTAACCTTAATACAATACAGGTAGTCTTCAACTGTTGTGGTTCATCAAGTCAGATGAGTCAGAGGAGCGGAGGGGGTGCATGGGGGCCTGCAGAAGGTTCTGTGGAGCAAGAGAGCCAGATGCAGAGCCCATCTACTCACACTCAGGCAGAGAGACAGCTGTTTTTGGGGCCTGAGCTGAGCAAAGGGGAGGAACAGCTGGGGCCTGTCCCAGATGCGTGAATGCACAGAAAAGAGAGGAGAGCAACGTAGGACATGGGGCCTGCTATCCAGGAAAAAAAGGAGATGTTAACAAGTCCTTCCCTGACTGGAATATAAGGAAGAGAGATTTGGGGGTCGACAGTTGTTGGAGACAACCGTTCATCCTACAGGAGATTTCCCTTCCTCGGATTTATTTATTTATTTATTTATTTAATTTATTTATTTATTTTTGTCAATTGCTTACAAGATAATAGGTATAAGTAAAAACATAGTTATGAATACATGGATACATATAAGAAAAATAAAAAAATAAAAGAAACAATAGGACAGGGATGGTAGGCACGTTGGTGCGCTTATGCACACCCCTACAGACCTCTTAGGAAAGGGTGAGGTCAATAGTAGACAGTTTAAAGTTAAAGTTTTTGGGGTTTGGGGAAGAAACCACAGAATCAGGTAGAATATTCCAAACATTGACCACTCCATTGCTGAAGTCGTACTTCCTGCAATCAAGTTTGGTGCGGTTAACCTTGAGTTTGTATCTATTGTTTGCTCTTGTGTTGTTATGGTTGAAGCTGAAGTATTCATTGACAGGTAGGACATTGCAATGTATGATTTTATATACTATACTTAGATCAGACTGAAGGCGGCGTAGTTCTAGGTTTTCTAGGTCTAGAATTTCGAGTCTAGTGGCATAAGGTATTCTGCAACGAGTAGAGGAGTGGAGAACTCTTCTTGTGAAATATTTCTGGACTTTCTCAACTGTGTTAATATCAGATACGTAATGTGGTTTCCAAACTAATAAGCTGTATTCAAGTATTGGCCTAGCAAATGTTTTGTATGCTCTAGTTATTAGTGTAATATTACCAGAGAAAAAGTTACGTAAGATTAGGTTAACAACTCTTAATGCCTTTTTGGCTATATAGTTACAGTGGGCTCTAGCACTTACGTCTTTTGAGATGAGTACTCCAAGATCCTTGACAGAGTTTGGATCATCAACAAGGTCTTGACTATTCAGCCTGTATTTTATTTTCTGATTTTTTTGCCAATATGTAGGACAGAGCATTTATTTGTTGAGATTTGAAGTTGCCATTTGTTTGACCATTCTGATACATAGTCAAGGTCTTTATGAAAGGTAGCAGTATTGTCTGTGGTGTTGAATAGCTAGGATTTCTTTGCTAGGATTTTTTTTGCCAATCCCCAGGTTGGTCAGAACTCTCTGTGTTGGGGTTGAAGTGCTAATCGAGCCTCCCTGCAGGGAACTCAGGGACATTGAAATCAGCGCAGCTGATGCGAGCAGAGATTGCTACTGCTTGCAAAATTCATGTGACTTGGAGTTTTGCTGTGAACACAGTTTATTCCTGCCTTGTTAAATAAAAAGGGGGTTTTCCTCACAAGTAAGTAGTTGAGTAGTACTTGAGCAGGCTGGGTCAGAACATCAACTTACAACAGTTCACTTAGTGACCGTTCAAAGTTACAACAGCATTGAAAAAAAGTCACATTATCAAAATTCGGATGCTTGGCAACTGACTCATATTTATGACAGCTGCCGTACCCTGGGCTCCTCTGATCACTTTTTGGGACCTTCTAACAAGCAAAGTCAATGGGGAAGCCAGGTTCACTTAATAACCATGTTACTAACTTAACAACTGCAGTGATTCACTTAACAAATGTGACAAGAAGCATCGTAAAATGGGGCAAAACTCACTTCACAAATTTCTCACTTAGCAACATAAATTTTGGGCTCAATTGTGGTCATAAGTTGAGGACTATCTGTACTTATGAAGCAATGGTTTGCAAACTGTGATACATACAACACATTGCCTGAATTTACACACAAAGCAAAATTTGTTTGTTTTCAACTTAGCATATTTTTGGGCAGAGGTGTGCAAATCCAGCCGACTATGGTTTATTCAATAAAATACAATAAAATAAACATGGATTAGTATGATCTGTGAACCTAACCACTACTACAATACTATTTCATCTTATTGGAACATGGTAGAACTTTACATATATGTTTTTTGTAATTCGAACACTAGCTGCATAACTTTTTAAATTAGAAAACATATATTTTGGGCATACCTAAAGCAATTTAAATTTCATAATGCTCTTCCATGCTGCAAACTTTGACTAATGAAAAAACAGGTAACCTTGTCAACAGTGGCATAGCTGACTAGCAATTTCTGAGTTTCTCAGGCTCCCCAGGAAGTTATTGTATAGTGAAGCTGTATACATTAGAATATTAGAAGTCAGCCACAATCTTCTACCAGTATGGAAATCTCCACAATTGTTATTACTTTAACTCTTTCAGGAGGGATTCTGGTGCAAAATATTATTATAATCCATATCTCATCCCACTTACCTGAAGAATTGTAACAATAAACACGAGCTTTCCTGTCTAAGTGCATTCTCCAGGTGCGAATCCCAGTGTTATTCTGACCACATTTTTCATTTGGAGTTATCCGTGAAATTACAGTATAGCCTTCTGCTACCCAGCCAAAACTAGAGTGAAAAGTATTTTTTTTTGTTAGATATATGATCCTAGCAACAATGGAGTGTTATTTTGCAAAGTTTATACATACAGTACTGTATAGAACAGTGTTTCTCAGCGTTGGCAGCTTGAAGATTTGTGGGCTTCAATTCCCAGAATTCCCCAGCTTTCCCAATATTATTCTTTGGTTTTATGATTCCACCTTCCTTGTTCAGTCCTGAAGCTAATAATATCATATCTGAAGTTACTTTCTCAGTCTACTCTTCTTTACTCAGAAGTGTTAGATGGGTCCGCGGGAATAAGAGGCAGGACGTGGCAGGAACAGGTAACAGTCTATTTTGTGAATTAAGAAAAAGCCCCTCAGCTGCGGCTGGCGCCGGCTTTTGTACCCGGCGCTGCCCAGAGTTTCAGCCACTGACAGGGCTTTATTTCTCCTGCCAGTGGCTGGGTCAATGAGTGGAATCTGTTAACCGACTCCATTCTATGGCCATATTAGGTAATACTTAACAAGAAGGAAATGATTCTTTTTAGGTTTAAAATTTGGAGTCCACAATGAGAGCCACACATTTTTGGCTGTGGTCTTCAGAGTCTTTCTAAAGGTTATAGGTATTAAATGTTTCAAAAGGGGAAAGCTATGAAATACATGGTAAATAATAATTAGTGCTATTAATTTTAATTTAATTTAAATTAAAGTCATTAGATGTTTCTTTTCGTCTTGACAATTCATTTTCATTTGGGGGGTTTGCACTGGTTACTTTACTCAAATGCCATGTGTAATCCACAGCTTGAATCATTTGTGTAAAAAGTAAAAAAAAAATATTCAAAAATGTCCAGTTTAGGTGCAGTGAAAACCAACCCTCAATGACACAGGATGATTCATCCTTTGGAAAACAGAGGAAAATTTCAAGAAGTTTGTGATAGGCATAAGACAGTTTCTGTTTCAAGTTTCAAGGAGGCAAAAGTTGCACATTATTAGGTATACATTTAAGTGAATTTCAATTGCTTATCTGAAGCCATACTCATTCATATTTATACACAAATAATATACATAATGGTTTTAAATCTATGCATATGAATTTGTGGAGAAAAAAGGGAATAAATTTAATTTAGGAATAAATAACCAACACTTTCTGCTTTAAGAATAAGAGGGACTATTTAATTTTTAATTGTTTGCATGCTTCTAATCTTGATTTATTTCAGAGTAATAATAATGACATTTTATTTTTAAAATGGCATTAAAAAAGGTAATTTGTACATACATGAGCATAAAACATTTAAAAGTAAATGTTGGAAAGATTTTCTGTACCTGCAAGTTTCAAAGCCATGCTTCCAAGCAGTTTCAACCTTGGATTCTGGTGCTACCATTAATCCCAGCTGCCTGCAAACTGATTGTGCTTCAATAAAATTAAAATGAATATTATTCTTATCTGCAGCAACTGTTATACCCGCAATTCTGCAGTTTGACGTGCGAATATCTGCAAATAAGCAGAAATATATATCAAAATGATTACTAATGGATATTTAATGTTTATATATTTCTTTGCATTACAAAATATGTACCTTTACTCAGTCCTGATTCGCTAATATTCAAGTGAGTGACAGAGATCCCAGCTATTATAGATGGTTGGTCTTGCATACATCCAAGATACTTTAAATGTAGGTCTTTACTTATAGGATCCAATTGGTATACTGCTTAGAACAGCATTATACATTCAATTGATGGAGAGGTGGTGGCCCAATGCATCCAGTTGACACCCAGTTGGAGAAGGTGGGTTTGAACATCAGACAAGGACAGGGAAAAGCTGCTTTCAAACATCAGATTAATTTCCTAGAAAACATGGTGTAGTATCTATCTCTCTGCCAAAACTACCATACACTATGAGATTGGGACAGTGGGATTGAGCAAAAACAGTTTGGTGTAGGGCAAACCATGTATCCAGCATTGAGAAATCCCCGACAACACCCCTTTATGGGATTTACAAAATAAAAATAAAATACAAAATAAAAGCTTTAAAGACTCCCTTTAGACTACCAAAGATTGATGAAAGATCAAATCCTGCAATAACATTGGAATGAGTGAAAGGTTAGGGCTGACTGCCTGTTATCACAAAAATGTTTTCCAGTAAAGTTTTTTAATGACTAAATTGAATTTGTTGACAGCAAGAAAATAATGAGTTTAGACTTTCTAATACTTAACTATCTTAACACAAAGGCATTCACAACAGTGGTGAAACCTGAAAACTAAAACCACCCCTCAAAATATTACCACTAAATGTATCCAACAAGAATAGCTCAAAAGGTGTGATGATTGAGACAAATTCTGAATGTAGGAAGAAGCAGACTTTTAGTGCAAGAAACAGTTTTTTAAAAGTAACTTGCTAATACTTCCTATACAAAAGCAAGAAACCCCAAAAGGTCCTTACTGTTCTCACCCTTAGCATTATGTATATATATTTCTCATCTCACTGTATGATGGAATTACAATATATCTAGCAGAACACACATTCTAAATATCCAAGGTACTTGTTTTTGTAATATGAAATGTCATTATTTTTCATTCAGCAAGTGCTCAGAACAGAAAGTTGTTTCAAAATGTTTAATTTGATACCCTATCCATGCCTCTTCTCCCCTCCATGCTCCTAATTTACCACAAACCTTCAACCACAAGATAAAATTAGCTCCGGTCCATGAAAATTCCATCCTTATCTTAAACTGACATATTTTTGTTAGAAAAGAGACACTGTACCAACCAGCAAAGTGTATTTGAATGAGGAAAAAAAAAGAATTAAATAAAATTCCTTCTCCACATTGCAAATACACTTTGCTAGTTCACACAGCATCTTCTTCCTAACTATGATTTACCAATTTGAGAAACAGAAATGGCTAGTGATCTTTGTAATTTGAACAGATTGAGGATCATTTGCTACAACTTTGCTAGTACTTTGGCCATTAAACTTTCCTTAGACTTTAAGATGCCACAATATTTCTTTCATGGTTTTTGCTATTAATTAATTAATTAATTGATTGATTGATTGATTGATTGATTAATTGATTGATTGATTAAAAAAGACCAATACTGTTGCTCCTGGAAATAACTCTGTTCCCTTCCCTACTTTATAATATTGCAATTTTTGTTTAAAAAATACCCTTCCTTGGTACAAGACAGAATATGTTGAGAAACTAGCACTTTATGGAAACATACCTTTCAGAAGAATTGTGCCTTGTGTCATGAAGTTTGCCACCCAGATTGAGAAGAAAAAGGAGACAGTTCTACCATGGAATGCCATTGTTGGTAACCCCAAAGAGCTGAGAGCTTCAGGCAGATTGCTTCTTTTCCTCCAATGTTGGAAATGCAGTGTAATGCTATATCATCCTTTGAACACTTCCAATATGTTCTTTTCTCATGAGTTGCTAAAGAAGTTGCTTCTTCTTTATTCCCTCTTTTACCACTTTAAGTGTCAAGGATGCTAAATAACCACTGACTATTTTACAGGCGTAGCTGAACTTGTTGCTCTGCTCAAAAGCCATTCACTGACTAAGGTCATTATCTGGAAACATATGACAGCTCCCCCCACCCCTTCCCAACCTGTCATGGACAGTCTGGAAAATACAATGAGTGCTGACTCAGAAAATATGCATCTGAGGAAAAGAGATAACATAGTGTAATAATCTTGTTCTTATAAACAGTGGGAAGATTTCCCAGTGTACCTCAGGTGGTCATCCTGTAATAGTTCCTGTTTAGCCACTTGCTATTTGCTCATGCTTCATCCAACTCATGCAGCTATTTACAAGGAAAAAGATGTAACATGGCTTGGCTATTTGTGATGGAAGAATTTATCTACTCACTGAATCCAGAAGTCTAAACTATTTTCAAAATGAGTATTGGGTTGAAAGATGAAATGAATTGAAGGACTTCAAGGTATATCTATTCCCATGTTATTGGACCTTAAGATGCCACAGCAAAATGAGGCAAGTGGGTTCCTACTCCAGATTTTTCCAAGTGTGGAATGCTGTCTGAAGAAAGGTTTGCCTGATATCCACATTGTCATCTTTTGAGTGTGAGATTATTAACATCTACATTTTTTGCTTTAAATGGTGCATTTTTGTTTTTGCTGTTACTTTTATTCTGGATGTGTTATGTGCTGATATTTTTTATCTTTTTGCAGCCATTTTACAAAACTGTCTAAGAGATTGCCTTCATAGAAAAGTGCAGCTACTGATGCCCTTGAGTCAAACACAGCTCCTAGGACAGTGGTTCTTAAATTGTTTGATCAAATTACCTTCTCTCTCTTTTTTTTAGCATTGAATGACATTAAATCCACCAGCATCAGCATCACCAAACCAGACTGTTGTTTCACACAAGCATTTCAGTAGCCAAAACTCAATCTTTGATTTACAAACAAGCAAATAAAATGGTTTCCTTTAACCCCAGGATATGCCCAAATTAACTCCTTAGAGGTAACTATCCACAGTTTTAAGAACTACTGGCCTAGGGCCGACAAGAAGCTTACATGTTGTTCTATTGGAAGTGGTTTTCCATTGCCTGATGCTGGAAGTCTTTTGACTTTCTAGCTTAACATACAGCTAGTCTTCCAACCTACTATTAACCAGGAAGAATCCTACTTACCTTTTCCTGAATCAGCTAAGGTCAACTAGGTGCACTATCTACTGAGACAGAAAATGTAAATAAGAAACTTTAAAACAGGTGGGAAAATTATAGTTATGTACTGTAGATGATACTTGCTACAATTTCCAGCAGCTAAGCACTACAAAGCCAATGAGGAAGATAACTGGCAGCAGTATGGGTGGGGAAATGTCAGGATACTCTAAACCAGGGGTCCCCAAACTTGGCAACTTTAAGACTTGTGGACTTCAACTCCCAGAACTCTCCAAGGACAATGAATTCTGGGAGTTGAAGTCTACAAGTCTTAAAGTTGCCAAGTTTGGGGACCTCTGCTCTAAACTAACATTCCCTAACTGAGTGAGCACCAGATATGCTTGCTATATTTTTTTGCTGTTTCCCACCATAGATGTTGGTCTTCAGATTTAACAAAAAAATAGAAAGGCCTGTCAATTTTGCAAATGCAGAAAAAGGGGAAATATATACTTAGGGAACTGCAATGAGGATATTCATTCATTCATTCATTCATTCATTCAACCAACCAACCAACCAACCAACCAACCAACCAACCAACCAACCAACCAGCCAATCAATTTCTATAGCCACCCATCTCTGTCAATGGCTTTTGATTGGCTTACAATTTAAAAAATATGTGATAATTAAAAATCTAAAACATTTTAAAACCATAAAAAACACTAAAATCATCCAAATTAGATAGATATATACTTGGTCAGTTTTGACACAAGACAGATCTTTCTTGGTTGCTCCTCCTAGAATTAAGAAGTTGCCAAAGAAGAGGTCCTCCATTTCTTGTGAAGCCCAAAATCTTCTTTACTTAGGGTAAGCTTTTAATGTCCCAAATCTCATCTGTTTTAACATCCTATTTGTTATCAATGAAATTTTATATTTTAGCTATATTTTAGTTAATTAATATTTTTTGTTATTTTTCAGTAGGCAGGTGCATTAAAAATAAATTTTATGTGTCTCTGACTAGACAGGCTATTCTCCACACTATGCTACTAAACCACATTCTAAAATTTGGGAATCCTATCAACGTTGACTATTACTATTTGATACCATCAGGTAGCTTTCACGGGAAACTATACTTCCAGGTGTTATATAACCAGAAATCCCAGCTTCTCTCTCCATTCTAGTTGAGGCGCCTGGGAGTTCTAATTAAGCAACATTTAATCATATCATTTCCCAAATACGTTAAGTGAAAGTAATTTTGAACATAGTAGGGATTGAAAGTAGTATTTGCTCTGTTTTCTGACCTCTGTTCCAAAATTGCCATAGGTACCGTGCATCCTGTGGGTGGAGGTACCACTTGCTTTGCCTCAGACAACAAAATGTTCTTGGATAGTCCTGTTAAGAAATGATGCAAAATGCCTTTAAAGCACAAAGGAAGTCTGAAAATGAATAATCATCATTTTTTGCTTCCTTCTCGGTTTATGGGCAGGCTCCTATCTATGAAGACAGAACAATTGTGAGTTCAGTGTTTATTCTATGCTAATCAAGCAAAATCTGGCAGAATAAAAACCTTAGTATGTTCATACCAAAATTTCTCTGTGTCATATATGTGTATGTGAATATATGCATAATGGTTACTTAATGCTTTGAGAAATGGATGCAATGCAATGAAATTTCATTTAATGTATGCTGATTAGTGTACATTTAAAGTGACAATAAAGTTTTTATTCTATTCTATTCTTCTATTCTAAATGTGTACAGGAATCACTATTATATACACAAAATGTATAAATTACATACAGTACGAGTAACTCAAAAGATTCTGAAACAATGTTTTTATTTTCAAAACTCAAGTATGTGATGCTATACAGTACAATACTAGCACACCTGTGCAAAGTCTTACAAGTTTTAAACAAAAAATAGTGACTCTTGAATTCCTCCTACTTAAAATACCAGTGCTGTGCACAAGAAACAAATGTCTTGTTAAAGCTAAATAAATAAATATTGCACTTCAGGAAAAAAAAAAACCCAATCAACCAAACCTTGAAATAGCACATATTTGGTACAAATTGAGTAACATAATTTAGTCTATGTGTATAAATCCTAAAAAATTGAAAATATAAAAATGTCTACGTTCTGATGTTGTAATAAAACAAAGGATCTGGTTTTTAAAAATTATTTTTTACTTATTTGTTTCTCAATCTGCCAATAACTACCAATGAGCTAATTTTAAGTGCTATAATTATAGGTTACTTCAAATCCTATTAATGAAAAAGTAATGGTCTGGAGACAGCTGAAGAAAAAATCTGTTTATCTCAGTACTTTGCCTTGTAAAGAAAGTAATTCACCTTGCATATAATATTCTACTCTTTAGGATGAATCAATTGTTCCAATATTGAGTTTTTTATTTGCCCATTAATTCTTAATTTGAGAAAAATGTGCTTAATATTTGGTATATAAAGCATTTCATGACCTTTTTTGTTACACTAGAATGAAAACTGCATTGTAGATATATCTTATTAGTGAAGTTACTGAATTCAAAGGACAGCAGTTGGTTTGATTCCTTAGCCTCTTTCATTCACTCTTCCAGTTTGACAGCCAATAATACACATTCTCACTAGCCTAACTGAACATGCTTAATACCATTATTTTATTTACTTATGGCCATTTAGAGATTGCTTAAAATATACATCAAGTTGTCTTGAGCATCAGTGATAGCCACTTCACTTATTAACCTCTAGGTATTCAAAACTACTTAACATAAAACTTGCAAATTATGTTTTGGAGAAGCTTCTACTGCAAACAATTTCATACCTATTTCCTGCTTATTATATTGAAAGACAACTGTCCAGTAATCTAGGGAGAAATTTCACTCTGGGCTCTGCCTTTTTGTACTTCTCAAGGTGTAGAACAGAATGGAAGATGTTTTTTGGCCATATGGGATCTCTGATGTGCTTCAGCCTGAATGCTGCAGGAATACCCTGACAACATTGTGAGTGACAGGACCAATCATTTTATGCTCAATTGGTTGTTTCTTCGCTTTCTGAAATTTGGAAAATGTGAAGATCCAAATAAGTACTTTTAAGCCATAAAGAGGATTGTCATACCCATTTAGCAGCTATGGGGGCAAAACAAAGCTTCCCCTCAAATGCTGCTGAGCTTGCCTGCTTTTTCATTCTGGATTGGTGGCTCCATCAGGTGATTCTGGGCACTGCAAGCTGCCTATTAGCCTTGGACCACAAGTCACTCACATCCAATTCCAACCATGTGTGATAGGACAGAACGTCACCCTCATACACACTTCAAGGGAAAGTTCATATCCTGAATGTTTTTGTCAAAGAGCCCCTTTCGAACACCAAATAATGCAAGTAAATTTATGAGAAGAGCTCATAAATTTCAGTATGATCTCAGTATGCATCATGCTTTTGCCAAGAAATATTTTTACAAATTAGTAAAAAATATACTCCGGGCTGTTTGCATTCCAGTAGCTGAAATGAACCAGAAAGGAATGCCTGAACTGTGAGCCATTCTTCCACTCTGATCTTCAAGCACTTCTATTTGTGTTACTTGGTTGACTTTTACTTAATGCACGATTAATGCCTGCAATTTGTTGTTTCCTAACTTTTGAATTGTGTCAGGAAATCTATTTATACTTTCAGGAACAAAAATCCTCTCTTCTGATTCCAAGGAGCAGAAAGCACATACCACACAGCATCTCCTGCCAACCTACTAAGAAGCTGTCTTTTGTTCCAGACATTAAGATTTAATTGTGTATGTTAATGTTCACTACAGAATGTGAAATAATTTTGCTGATGAGTGTTAACAACATTTTCACACTTTTTTTTAAAAAAGAGAAACAAACCTCATCCTGATGTGTGTATAACAATAAGCCATGAAAGGGTTCATTGATCATACTAAGCCAAAGCCAAATCAAATCAT